CAGGGAAGCCCTGGAAATAGCTATTTTGCTTCTGGCTAGTCCTGAAATATCATCTTGTGAAAGGACAAGCTCAAGCATTTACCACCTTTGATTTTTAAAATAAATATGAAGTAATGTAAAAGGGTCATCATGGTGTAGTGGTTTCAACATTAGGTTAAGACACTGGGAGATCAGTTTTCGAATCCTGGCTAGGCATGGAAACCCACTGGGTGACCAATTCTCTCACATGGCTGCTACACTACCACCTTACTTGTTTGCTGCCTTTGAGTTGTGCAGGTATGAACCATGGAATCATAGAGTTGGAAGAGACCACAAGGCCGTCTAGTTTGCCATACAAGAATAAAATTAATTTTTGCATGCAATGGAAGGCACATCTGCAATGCTTGTTCCATGGAACAGCCAAACAGAAATTTTAAAAATCCGTGTTATTCTGTAACAATGTGTAAAAATGGTTATCACAATTGTTAACTAAAAAGAGGAGATTCAAACTCTTTAAATGGCATATTGACTTCCACAAATGCAATCTCATACTCCTAGGTGTTCACCTTTAGGAGGAAGAATGTTCAGTGTCTCAGTAATAAATTAATTCTGCATGCACTCAGGAATCTGGCATCATTGTGTAGTTTAACAGTTCACATATTAGAGGTCTGAACCCCACCATTCAAAATAGGTTCAAGAACTGAATCTGTGGCCACAATATCCAACAAAATGATAAGAGCAAGCTGACTCAATAAACCCAAAGCGCAGGGCAGTCTTGAGCCAGTATGAGTGCCTGTCATTTCAAGACACAGCTGTGGTGAGTTAGGTAGGCAGTGACAATAATGGATGGTAATAGTGGCAGTAGCTGGAATATAGCTGGGTTGCACTTTAATACAACTCAGGAAAAATTCCAAGTTAGACTCAAGGTGAAACATAACCCAGCCAAATGAGCCTGGGCCTGCAGGACATGAGCAAAGTGGTGGAGGACAGGGTGTCTTGGAGATGTCTTATCCACGGGGTCATCATGAGTCAAAGTTGATTTGAGGGCAGTTAACAACAACAAGCTGCAAACCAGACTTGAGAAATCAGCCAAAGAATCCAGATCATGAACTACACTGTGTTACTCAAAAGTGTGGACTGCTGTGGTCTGTGACCCATTGTTTGCTGATCCACAGCAAGTTCCCTGGTATATAATAATAATATGCCACAAATATAGTATCAGTTCTGCCACATTGGATAGCATATGGGCCACTGCACTACATCACAGAGATCGTAAAGTAAATGACTGCCTTCAGATAACTCAAACAGACAAGGACAGTTACACACTACAAATGGGAGCTACCCTTGTCAACACATCGTCTTTAAAAAAATCTCACAGTTTTATTCCGAAGCACCACTATATTCAGTGACAGGCATATATGGGATTGCAGCTTTAGTGATGCATGGCACTCCTCTTTCTCCCATACCTCCCTGGCCTTCCCTCCATCCCAGAATTCCCACCATCCAATAAGATTGCTCAGATCTGTCTACCAAGCAACAGCCACCTTTCCATTTCCACTTAATATAATAATAAATAAACAAAGATGGCTTTGTTTTATCTCTTGATTTTATTAATTTTCTCATTGGACAGTGATGGATAACTAGCTTAGCCCTAGCCACTACAACTAGCTTAGAACTATACAAAGAACACCAGAGTGGTGAGAAGCAATTAACACTCAGATTTATTGGCAGCCTAATTTAATATTTTATGTGGATGAACAGGCCGTAATTCCAAGACACTGCATTAGTGTTACTTCAACCCTCCCTGCCCCCACTATCTGCAACTTCTCAAACAGAAATCTCCATATCTGCCTGCACATTTCTTTAACTGGAAATCTGGTACCTGGCTGTTTTGCTTCCCCCCCCCCCCCCTTGTACTGCCATGGGTTGTATACACACCGCAGTGTTTGACTATTAATTTACCACACCTCTGTTTTGGGTCTTAAAATATGAACACTCTGGGAAAAAAGAATGTGATTCAGTGATTTTCAAGTCAGCTTCATTTAGTAGAGATGTGAACTGACCAGGACCAAGAAAAGGGTAGGAGGAAATCAAGCAAACTGGGCAGAGGAAAACTAACATGGTTGGTCAATATGGCTGTGGGAGTATAAGAAGTGAATGCAAGCTATACTACTAAGAAGAACTATTTAAGTCTAGAAATTCTAGTCAAAACATTGACCCCAAAAAACTGAATCAACTTACCTATGGATCAATGCAAGTACTTTTTTAATGGTGAAAGGCAAAAGTGTAATCTGACCTGGAAGCACTGACCCCATTCTACTTTCTCATCCAGACATTAGGGTGACCACAAACAGTTAACCTGCTAGAATTTTCAAAGTTCTTTGGCATTGTTTTTCTTTGCTTCATCCTTTAGATCCTTTGCTACATTCTCCTAAATTTTACCCTTGACTTATCTATTGGTTATATCAAAATCCATAATTTTGGTCCCACAACCTGCCCTCGACTTATACGTAAGGTCAACTTCTAGGCGAGTACATAAAGCAAATTGCCAAGACTAGAATTTATAACCTCACAGGAAGAATGGGAGCCAAGGGATCTTTCCTGTAATATTTTTCACTCCAAAATGTTTATGGTTATATATAATGAATATCGTGTAATATAACATGCACACACACACACACACACACATCTGGAAAACATATGTTTCTTGAAAAACAGATTTTAATTTGGATGTGCCTTTTAAAATCTTGAATTTCTGTTCTACCAAAGAAAGGAAAGTTGTTCTTTGTTGTTTGTACACATATATACATAGAAGCAACATACTACAGGTGATAATTTATGTAGTAAGGAACACAGCATTGTAGTTTCAGCAGTAAAAATGCAACTAAATGCCCAAAGCAAAATTGGTAGAAAATCAACAACAAAATAAAATACCCATTTCCACTTTTTTTTCCTGCCACTGGCTAATTTATTCTGTATAGTACCCCTTGAGAAGGTGTCTGTTTGTGTGTGTGTGTGTGTGTGTGTGAGAGAGAGAATTGCAAAGGGTGGGGAATTGCCTCCTCCTATTTCTACTGATGGAAGTGATTGCATCAGTGGGACAACTCTGTCAGATTTTATCTGCTGTATTAACAGGAGACTATTAACGATCTAATTCTTTGCTGGTTTTGAAAGAAAGCAATGAATAATTTTAGTATTTTTTTTCCTAGAGCAAAAAAGTCTTCAAAAACTGTGCAGTTTTCAAAGATTTATTCTGCACAGCATTTACATGTGGCTTTTTTGCACAGAAAATAGTTTCTTGCACTGAAAATTCTGTAGCTGGGGACTTGTTCTCCAGACAATTCACGTTTTAAAAATGCTATTAGAAACATTATTATAATTACTATTTATAAATACTGTTTCTGCACTAAACATGTACATTCCTATGACAAAAACACTTCTTTATGTGCAAAAAGCCACATTACTTTTGTGCAGAATAAGTCCTGAGCTGGTGTAGTGTAATGGCTTGAGTGCTGGACTATGACTCTGGAGACCAGGGTCCGAATCCATGGCCAGCTATGGAAAACCTCTAGGTGACCTTGGGCAAGTCACACTTTCTCAGCCACAGAGGAATGCCAGGGCAAAACCCTCTCTGAACAAGTATTAGCAAGCAAACTCTGTGATAGGTTTGCCTTAGGGTTGCCATAAGTAAAAAGCAATTTGAAGGCACATAATAACAACAAGAAAGCCTGAACTTGAAGATTCTTGCCAGTCCAGAAATCATCTTTTATTTTGGAATATTTTCAAATATGCTATGTATCTTGAAAACTTTTAATTTTAGATATAGCCTTCCCTCTCTCCTGTAGGCATCTGGATTTGATTTTTCTTTTTCTTTTGGAACTACTAGTTTCAATGAGACTATTAGGTTTTAAATGATGTTTTTCCTGCATCTTCTCTTCCTACATAATCCTAATAGATCATTTATACAGCTACTATAAATTCTATGTGTGAATACCTAGTATCTTTGTTTGATGTTTACTTTTGAACTTTTCAGTTGCATTTCTCCAGTTTAAAAATGTTGCATATTAAAATGTATCTCGAGATAAACAACTTGATATAACTGTCTCAACCATGTTCTTCTGTTCTACTCTTAAACGCCATAATCCACACAGGATTATGTGGTGAATATCATTATGAATGAAAATTACAGGTAATTTCAGTTCTGCTTTCTTCAATCTCTCACTAGTAGAGGCAAGACTCTCTCAGTTCTCTCAGTAGGCGCCTTGGGTGGGCCTGAAAGAGCTGCAACTATAAAGCATAAATTGTATGTAGGCTTGCAAACCAGAAAAAAGTTAAGTGCACTTAATCTGCAGAAATCAGCAATGATCTTCACAGCATGAACATTATTAGGGTTTTTATATGAAGCTATTGTCAGAGGTTGTATCTTTTACCATAAGACCTGACAGGTGGTGTCTTTGGTCATTGAGATAATGTTTCTCAGAGACTTACAGAAATTACTAATGCTTTCTGGATAACATTTCAGAGCTAGAGTATATTTCACAGTTTCAGTAGGGATCCCACTTGAAAGTGCTTCAATTTGGAGAACCTGGCTGGCAACATTTAGCAATACTTTACCACATGAGGGCAATGATTATATGGAGAGTTTTGCTGCCCCTGCCCTATACTTCTGATAATTATAGGTAGTTTCATGATATAGGTAGGTCATAGGTTTCAAATATAACACAATATCCCAGCGTCACAAGGTTGGTGCTTCTAAGTCAGGATGAGCAAAGTGTGGCTCTCCAGACCTTTTTGGACTGCAAATTCCAGCATTATTCAATGTTGGTTATGCTGAATAGGGCTGAAGGCTGTACTGCAATAATATCCAAGGGCCACACTTTCTCCTCCCCTGTTCTAAATGTTATATAGGGCTCACAGGTATCAGACTCTGAAATATGTTGTACCCATCTGACTTTTCAAAATATTCATTAAGTGTAAGCATTTCCCTTAGGACATCTCAGACATTTCCATCCTAGTTCATGATGGCTAAGGAGGGGAGGAACTGCCCTGCCCTGTTGCAGCGGCCATGTTTATCACCTTTCATGAGTTACTAAGTTGATTTCATTCACAGAAAATAGAAATTTCTTCTTATGGGGGAGAAATGTGAATTTATGAGCGGGTTTTTCTCATTAAATTTTTATTGAGTTTTTACAAACTGTAGAACAATGTGTGGCGCACACTACTGCCACCTTTCTCCTTTTCCACTTTACTTCTAGTTGGAAGTCCTGTGAGAACTTGTTATCCCCACCCTTGCCACCTAATTAAGTGTAAGGGACCCACTCTTTCTTTTGTATGATGTCCCACCTCCTAAACTTTAACATATTAGTAGTGTGGTTTGTGATTAAAATGTAGGCCAA